GGACTAAATGTCAATAGGACAAAAGGTCGAAGGGACAAATAGTCGAATGGAAAAAGGTCAAAGGGACAAATCGTCAAAAGGACAAAATGGTCGAAAGGACAAAATTGTCGAAAGGACAAAATGGTCGAAAGGACAGAATGGAAAATGGGCAAAAGGTTAAATTAACAGTAGGTCGAATGGACAAAAGGTTGGATGAACAAAGCTCAAATGAACAAAAAGTCCAATAGACAAAAGGTCCAACGGACAAAAGGTCCAATGGACAAAAGTTCCGATGGACAAAAGGTCTTCGGCAAAATTATATATTTTAATTAAAAGAATACGTCAAGCTTCCACAGCCTAAGTAAACAAATAAAAGTATTTTTTTAACTTTACTGCTGCTGTAAAGCAGTTGTAGAACAAAAGGTCGAAATAACAAAATGTCGAATGGACAAAATGTCGAATGGACAAAAGGTCGAATGGACAAAAGGTCAAATGGGCAAAATGTTGAATGGACAAAAGGTCGAAGGACCAAACATTAGAATGGACAAAAGGTCAAACGAACAAAAGGTCAATAGGACAAATGGCTGGATGAACGAAATGGCAACAGGACAAAAGATCTAATTAACAAAGCTCGAATGGACAAAAAGTTGAAATGGACAAAAGGTTCAATGGAAAAAGGGTATTTGGAAAAATTGTATCTTTTGATAAAAAAAGACGTCAAACTTAAAGCCTACTCAGTAACATTTGTTTAACTGTACTGGTGATGTAATCTGGTTGTAGGACAAGAGATCGATAGGACAAAAGGTCGAAGGGACAAATGGTCGAAAGGACAAAAGGTCGAAAGGACAAAATGGCAAATGGACAAATTAACAGAAGATCGAATGGACAAAAGATCCAATGGACAAAAAGTCCAATAGACAAAAGGTCCAACGGACAAAAGGTCCAATGGACAAAAGGTCTTCGGCAAAATTATATATTTTTATTAAAATAATACGACAAGCTTCCACAGCCTAAGTAAACAAATAAAAGTAATTTTTTAACTTTACTGCTGCTGCAAAGTAGTTGTAGGACAAAAGGTCGAATGGACAAAATGTCGAACGGACAACATGTTGAATGGACAACATGTCGAATGGACAAAAGGTCGAAGGGCCAAACGTTAGAATAGACAAAAGGTCGAACAAACATAGCTCGAACGGACAAAAGTTCAAAATGGACAAATGATCAAATGGACAAAAGGTCAAACGAACAAAAGGTCAATAGGACAAATGGATGGATTAACGCAATGGCAAAAGGACGAAAGGTCTATTTAACAAAGCTCGAATGGACAAAAAGTTGAAATGGACAAAAGGTTCAATGGGAAAAGGGTATTCGGAAAAATGGTATCTTTTGATAAAAAGAAGACGTCAAACCTACAGCCTACTCAGTAACATTTGTTAAACTGTACTGGTGATGTAATCTAGTTATAGGAAAAAAAGACCAAAGGGACAATATAGTCGAATGGACAAATAGTCGAATGGACAAAAGATCGATTGAAAATAAAATTCGAAATGAACAAAAGATCGATTGAAAATAAAATTCGAAATGGACAAATGGTCAAAATAGACAAAAGGTCAAAATAGAAAAAAGGTCAAAATAGACAAACGTTCAAAATAGACAAAAGGTCGAATGGACAGCAGGTTGAAGTGAATAAAAAGTTAAAATTGACAAAACGTCAAAATGAACAAACTGGTCTTATTGTTGGGGGACAAAATGGATGGCCAACACTAAAATATTTTTCCTTCTGCTCACAATTTAAGGGCAGTTCAACAAAAGAGACATATATCCACCTATCTCTAGAATAAATTTATTCTATAAATCATGAACAACTCTTTGGCAGTGTACTCAAGTCTTTTAACATGACTGTTTTTAAGTGGCTTACGTTTAAGAACTACGGCTGTGATTTCCATATGGGGGTACACTTTGTGAAAATCGAAAATGCAACATGTAACGAAATTATGAAAGATATGGAACGTTAAAAACTCAGTTGTCTCTGGACCAATTTTAATAATTTTATCACCAATCGATCAGAAATATTTCTGCGCATCTGCTAAATTTAAGACTTTGTCAGTTTTTCAAAATGTCACTATTGAAAATTGCACGAATGTGCATCTGTTGCTGTGATCAGAGATGGAAAATCATTTACATTCATTTCATACATTCATTAACATTCATTTGCCTCTAACTTTTTTCATCAAAAGCATTCTGCAAAATGATGCATAGAGCTTTTGTAGGTTTTGTTATTAACTACAACTTTTGTTCAAAACTCAAATCTGTATCTCTTATGAATCATGAACTAGAGCGGGCAGAACTTGTTACTGTTTTTCAGTGAATATAAAATACATTCAACATTGTATTTTACATTCACTGAAAAACAGTAAACATTGTTAACAAAAGTGGCAGCTTATAACAAAACCTACAAAAGGTATATACATCATTTTGCGGAATGCTGTTGAAGAAAAAAGTTAAAGGCAAATGAATGTAAATGATTTTTCATGCCTGGCTATGATAATTAAAAGTATCACCGATTGCGTGCGAAAAGCGATTTCCCCAACACAGATTTCAAAGTTGAATTGAATCCGGACTCATCAAACGGTGTTTATTCAATCACCGTGTAGTGAGTGGTGGTGTTATCCAGTACACAACGAAAGGCTGCCTGCAAGCAGATAGCTATCAAGACTGGCCTCAACCGTTGATTGGATTCAGTTCCAATCACCGTGTGTTGTGGTGTCCAGTCGTCACCATCATCATCATCAGCAGCAGCAGTGCTTTCGCACGTGGCGTTGAACATTGTTCTCCGGAACACAACGAAAGGCTGCCTGCAAGCAACGAGCAGCAGCCCACATGAGCATCCATAGAAGGAGGAAGAAGCCGCACCGCTATTGATCTGAATCAGTAGCACTTCGTAAGTCGCTGTGGGTCATCTATATCAAACACGTCATACTTAAGAGTATAAACAGATCGAGCCCTGCTCAAATTCCTATTCCTACACAAAACACAACCTCCTGCTGCTGCTAACAAATAAGATTTATTTTATAAGACCACGTAGTCCTACGTCACCATTGCGCACAAACCCCATAGGGCTGCCCCTTGTAGTTTTTCACTCATTTTAATCTATATTGAGCAGTTGCTGGTCCTCATTGAAACAATTATCCACATTTGGGAACACCAACTTCCCAAATAGCAATTTTGGTTTTATGACAGCGTTGAGGCCCATGATTTGGATTTCTTCTCATTTTCTTCTGGTTTTCAGCTCTGGCTTACTAAAATCAAATGAGATGACTTCTTCTTTAATCTGACTGTATATTTTAGAATTTTCTTTTTATTATTTTTATTTCATGTGATCAATTTGTATGATTTATAGTTTAATGTTTTCAAAACATTAGTGTTCGATACAAATACAAACCTAACCAACGATTAATTTATTGAAACATATTATTGAGAAGGATATGACTGATGTCTTTAAGCTTTCCTAATTGGGAGCCCTTATTTTAACCCACCATCGCCCTACCGTTAATACGGCTCTGGTAATAGGATTCTCTAGCAGTACATTGGGAATCTTGATAAAATCTGAAAGATTCCGCTCAAATTTGTTCAATAATTTACAGCTGCATTCACACCCGACCAGAGCACATACTTCAGAGCCACAAGTGCCAGCAGGATTTAAAGCAAGTGAAAGGGACTCCATTGGCACCTTCCACCCAAGTGTTTCAAGAGCTTCAAGTGATCGCCGTAAAAAAGGGACCAGATTAATAAATAATTCCCCCAAAGGTACCACCACCGTTTGTATGTAAGTATGTATGTGAGTGTGCCGCCAGAGAGGGTCGTATTCGTAAAAAAGGGGTTTCAAAATCGAACGCATCGATACTGTGTTATGATAAAAGGGGACCCCACGACGCGGCGCGTATTCTTGTAGGCCTTTTCCCGTCCGTTGGGGGTTGACGACAGCAACGGTGTGACACAACAGAGCAGCGGTGGGAGGGTTTACGGTTAAGCAAAGGGGTTTTCCGAGGCAGCACACATGTTCCACGGCACGGTTCTTGCTGGTTGTTTGGTGCAGTGTGTTTTGATGATGGTGTGGTGTGGCGTGGCGTGGCATAGCGTGCCAGCGAAAGGCTTCACGTTCCTCCCAACCAACAAACACCCAGCAGGAGCAGCACAAAAAGTCACATCGGTACAAACTCTTCTTCCCGCGCGCACATACACACACTTCCTCGTGCTTCTCGGTGCTCTGTTCTGTACCTCACTCTCTCTCTCGCTCGTTCGCTCACTTGAACACCCGGGGTGGATATTCGCTTTTCCTTTACGTTTTCTTCTTCTTATTTTTCTCTTTCTTCGTGCTCTTCTAGATAAAGGAACTATTAAATAACGTTGCAATGCAGATAACTTGGGCTTCTTGACACACAACCGAAAAAGCAAAGACTGCGACTGCTGCTTCGGGTTCACCGAGTTTCACCGTCGACCGCACTTCTGGGGTCGGTGATTCCGATGGACAAGTGTTTTGAACCGGAAAGCAGGCAACGGCGGCACCACCCGGGAGTCGTAAAGTATGTTCTATTGTTAGCCGTAATTGCTTTTTTCGTTGCTTTCCGATCCAACACTGTTGTCGTTCTGCGTTGTCCTGCGAGCACAATTCCACGAGGATACGCACCCGAAAGAACAGCTACTGTTCCCCACGCAAGCCGAAACACTACTTGCCACCCAGTGCGATGCAGCACAGACAGCTTCGACAGTATTCCTATCAATTCTTAATTAAAAACTCTAATGAAACATTACGAAAACGAGTCACATGAAAACCAAACACCACACTCCGCTCTTTCTCTCGCACACAGGAACATGCTGGCTGACCCCCTCTCGGTGAGCCATTCGTCCGATGGTCAGTGGTGAACGATATACTAACGAGGGTCACACTCGTGAACACATCCAGACTCACAACCACACACATCCATAAACACCGAAAAACGCTTGAAATATTGCTTCTGTACAATTTTCACCGAAATGTACACACTGCTGGTTGCGGCTCCTTCTGCTTCTACTGCTATTACTTCACTTCCGACCAAACGCGACAACGACGACGACGACGACGACGACGACGACGACTACAACGACGACTACAACGACTACAACGGGCCCAACATCGACTGTTGGCGCTCTGTTTTGACTACGATGACTGCGGTCCCACGCGGGTCCTCTGGGGCTTGCATTTGTTTTGTGTCATTCGATGGGGAACAATGGAACACAACTACGGATGTAGGATACGTGCGATAGACCGACAACCGACGACCGACTCCCCGGCCTCGTTGACCCGAGTGAGAGTTCCGTCCGTGGCGCGCCAGCACACAACTAGTCCAGCGAGAGTACACTGGAGCACTCGATGGAATATCCTACTTGACGGATGGCTACCAAGCACCAACCGAAAACTCGTTGGGGACCCCAAACTACGTACGCACACACAGACACCCAGAGGGAACGAACGGGACTGTTCAAAAAAACACCCGACGGAACACAAAAACCCGCTTCTCGCGTGTTGTACTAAAATGATCAACGGTTCAAACGGAACAGCCACGGACAATCCATTGCTGCTTGCGATGACTGCCTGGCTGCCTGCGAGGAGCCACCGAAGAGAGTCCCCAAAAAAGTACACACACGCATATACTACCCACTACTGCTGCTGTTGCTGCCAAATGCTGCTACCGAGACTTCGGCGCTGGGTAGCCTTGCGAACGAGAGCGACTCCCCCTCTCTCTATTACCAAAATAACACTCTTGTACTCTCCTGCTAGCTCTCTCTATCTATCTCTCTCTCCGATCCAACACATGTTTTGTATCACACCAACGTTCTCCCACCACCCACTTTTAACGCCAAGAAAACCGCATAACGTTAGCCGTGAAAATTTCCTTAATACTGCTCTGCTACCCACCACCCTCCTCCCACTGAGCGCTCTGCTGACTGCTGCTGGGGGTGGTGGTTCTCTTTTCGTTCACTCACTTTGTTAACTACACAGCCACTCTCACTCTCACTCTCACGCTCGCTCAACCCTCTCACTCTCCCTGTGCGGGTTCTTCTTCATGGTTCACCACGGAAAGGAGGCGGTGAACGATCATCATCATCATCATCATCATCATCGCGGAATTAAGTCCCACTCGGAGAGTGCAGTAAGGACGAAGCGATGCACCGTTTGTCATTGTTATCATCGTCATCGGTGGACACTGCGATGAATTCGGTGAGTGGTGTCATCGGATTTTGCCGGCACCGCCGTCGTCGTAATGCGCCACCGTCAGCTGGTTTGCCTTGTTACTGGCTAGCAAGTTGGTGAGTGGTGTGGAGTGACTGGAAAATGACATTGATGATGATTGCAACAGTTCAAATCGTCTTCGGGTTGCCAAGCGGTTGGATTTTAGAACTGATTTGTATTTTGAATTTCGTTGGTGATTTCGGTGCGTTAGATTTTCAAAATAAATTCAAGGCAACTTTGGTCGTATTAGTAGAGAGACATTTTTCTTAACCCTCCGTTACTCGCGCTGTTGTACTTTGCACAACACACATGAGTTTTCCATTGCCATTTTGTTGCTGAGTTTCCAATCGATCTGAAACCAACGAGTATTCCCCAAAACACTTGTTTAGATCTAAACAAGCTAAACTTTGTTTACAGTAAACACCTAAAAAATGCGGATAATAGGGAAAATGTAAATGGAAACCGCGTAAACTGTGACCAAACTATGTGGGATTTGACTTAATTGATTACAACATGGAATATATTGAGATCCTGACCAGATAGAAAGTTACTGTTCCGGGCAAAGTTGTTCAGGAGGCCAAAACCTATTGCTTGGTGCTCAATAGTTCTGAATTTTCTCACTACACGACGCTAGCATACACGTGAAATTCTCATATAAAATATCTCGAGTTCCCAACCAGATAGAAAGATACTGTCTTCGGCATAGTTGTTCAGGAAATCAAGGCCTTGTTGCAGGTGAACAGTAGTTCAGAGTTTTCTCACTTAACGGTGCTACTATACATGTGAAATTTTCGCATATAAAATATCTCTAGATCCAGATAGAAAGTAAATGTATTCGGCATAGTTTTTCAGGAAGTCAAGATCTTTTTGTTGGGTGACAGTAGTTCAGAATTTTCTCACTATGCGGCGCTAGTATATACGTGCCTTTCTCGCATATTCAGCTCGAGATCTTGATCAGCAAGAAAGTTGCTGTCTTCGGCAAAGTTGTTTAGGGGGTCTGGTAGACAGTAGTTGAGAAATATTCTCACCACGTGGCAAATTTTTCGTTGAGAGCCAGCAAAATAAAATACCGAGCTGCTCGGTGGTGCCCATCTCGGCAAAAAATCTAAGTGTAAAGGTACATCCAAAGTCATAAAGAAAAGGCCTGATAATATGAAATTATCATCTCTTTCATTCTACCGCTGTTCCTACGCTGCTAGAAGTGTGATGTCGAATTTATGGTGACATACACCTTATTCTAAATCTAAACGAGAAGAATCTATTCAAATCTATACACACGAGTTAGCCAGTCGAGCCATAGGACTATCTGACTGTTGTTTTACTCAGTTGTCTGGAGAAATTTCCAAAATCGTAGTTCACTCAGCGCTGAGTAACCTACACTCCCGATCATAAGCTTAAATACACCCCCAAAATACATGCAAATGTGGTTTGTTCAAAGCTCTCTCATTTTAGGTCCAATTTTTGATCTCCTTAGGTTATTTGAATGGAATGAATACTTTTAATTTCAAATATTTTTTTTCAAATCAATTCTGAGAAAATCAATCATGATTCTTCAGAATAAATTTTGAAAAATAGTGTAACTTTGGGTGAACCTTTGGTATACAAAATTAGAACAACTTTGCCTAAGACAGTAACATTCTATTTGGTCAGGATCTCGTGATATTTTATATGTGAATAAGTGACGTGTATACTAGCGTCGCTTAGGAAATTCTCAACTATTGTACACCAAGCAATAGGCTTCGACCTCCTGAATAACTTTGTCGAAGACAGTACCTTTCTATCTGGTCAGGATCTCGATACAAACCACATGCTAGAATTTTACGTGTATACTAGCGCTACGTAGTGAGAAAATTTAGAACTAATTTTCACTAGCGAAAAATGTATGATCTCTTGAACAATTTTGTCAACGACAGTAACTTTCTATCTGATCAGAATTTCGAGATATTTTACATGCGAGACTTCCACGTGTATACTAACGCCACGTAGTGTGAAAATTCTGAACTATTGTACACCAAGCAATAGGCATTGACCTCATGAACAATTTTTTCGGAGACAGTAATTTTCTACCAGTTCAGGATCTCGAGCTATTGCATACGCGAGAATTATACACGTTTACTAGCGCCACGTGGTGAGAAAATTCCACCAGCCAAAAAGTCTTGACCCCCTGAACAAGTTTGCCCAAAACAGTTACTTTCTATCTGCTCAGGATCTCGAGCTGTATATGCGAGAATTGCATGTGCATACTAGCACCGCGTAGTGAGAAAATTCTGAACAACTGTCCACAAACGAAAAGATCTTGACTTCTTGAACAACTTTGCCAAATATATTTACTCTCTATCAGATCAGGATGTATGACATGCGAGAACTTAACATGTATACGAGCGCTACCTAGTGAGAAGATTCGGAACTACTGTCCACCATCAAAAAGTTTATGATCTCCTGAACAGCTTTGCCGAAGACAGTAACTTTCTATCTGGTCAGAATCTCGAGATAGTAAATATGAGAATTTTACGTGTACACTAGCGCTGCGTAGTGAGAAAAATCTGAACTACTGTCCACCTACGAAAAGGCCTTGACCTCCTGAACAACTATGCCGAGAACAGTACCTTTCTATCTGGTTGGGAACTCGAGATATTGTATATGCGAAAATTACACGTATAACCAGCACCACGTAGTGAGAATTTTCTAAACTACTCTCCACCAGCAAAAAGGTTATGATCTCTAGAACAACTTTGCGGAAGACAGTAGTTTTCTATCTGGTCAGGATCTCGAGATTTTTCATGTTGTAACCAATTAAGTCAAATCCCACGTAGTACGGACACCGTTTACGCGGTTTCCATTCACATTTTCTTTATTATCCGCATTTTTGGGGGTAAACTGTGATAAAAGTTTAGCTTGTTTAGATCAAAACAAGTTTTTTAAGGAAAATCCGTTGGTTTCATATCGATTGATAGCTCGGCTGCAAAATGGCAATGGAAAACTCACACTGTTGTACAAAGTACAACGCGCGAGTACTCGTGTTACAAAAGTTGGCGCGAGTAACGGAGGATACGTGGATACGTGGATACGTCTATTAACGTCTCTTTAAACTGTTCCCCTACAAGAGGAGAATTTAGTTCATTCGAGACGGGTTTTAAACATCAGCTGTTTCATCATTGTGTCCCCCGTTAGGTCGGTCGTCCTCCCTCACACACCTTGGTCTTTAGGACCTTAAAGATTGCCTCTTGTCGAATGAAGTGGCATGACTATACACTGGAGTCGCTTTTTACGCGGTTTTTTTTTACGCGGATTTCGGAATTTACGCGTTTTTTTTTACGCGGATTCCGGAATTTACGCGGTTTTTTTTACGCGGATTTTGGTTTTTTTTTACGCGGATTTCAGAATTTACGCGGTATATCGCTTTTTACGCGTTTTTTTCTTACACGGTCTTTTTTTACTCGGTTTTTTTTTACGCGGATTTCGGAATTGACGCGGTTTTTTTTTACGCGGATTCCGGAATTTACGCGGTTTTTTTTACGCGGTTTTTTTTACGCGGGACGTATCACCCGCGTAAAAAGCGACTCCAGTGTACCAGTCATTTTCTTTCTAATGCCACTTCAACTTACTCAAGCTTATATCATATCGTATAAGTCTAACGCCCTCAGGAAGTTGAGTACAGTTTGCTCTGTACTCCTGTCGTTGAACAATACCTCACGGATTGAACCAACGACACCCATATCTTCCCTTAATTGTGCTCTTGCCGGGCACTCCACCAATAGATGATTTACATCTAATACCGCACCGCATCCCTGACAGTAGGCCACACTGCCGCTAAAACGAGGTCCATGAGTGAGCCGTGTATGACCAATCCACAGCCGAGTCAGAACTTTCTGATCTCGAGAATTAGGTGCATCCTTCCACTCTTGTGTAGTGTTCTTGATACGACGCAGGAATGCATCACGGTTGTTATGCCAAGACACATTCCATGCGTATCGCGAGGTCTGCTTCACCCAGCGGGTAGCGTCACTATAGGGCACCGGAGTGGCCTCTAGTTGAACAAGACGACCCTGGTTAGCTAGTTTATCAGCAGCCTCATTCCCTGGTATACCTGCGTGTCCAGGTACCCATACAAAGGTTATGTTAGCGTACCGTTGCACTCGGAATAAAAATCCGTTCCCGAAAACGGGAACGGACCATGAACTAAAAATCACGGCCAATTATCCAGAACAAAATTTTCGCAAATATACACCGTGAACTATGGTTCACGGCTGTGGTTCACGAATATAGGAACTCTTTTTTTTTCCGTGCATCTCTAACAGCCACGGGTGTCCAACCTGCCCATGCTCAAGGGCATAGAGACAACTCGCAGAATCAGAAAATACAACAGCCTGAGACCCATTTGCTAGCCTACAAGCTTGCAGGAGAGCATAGGCCTCAGCTGAGAAGATACCACAGAGACCGGGTAACCGGCCGCAGCAGCTTATGTCCTCCCCAGACACCCCATAACCAACCTCCTCTT